GTTAGTTTTTTTTTTTTTTTTTTCAGACAAAATGTGTACAATAAGAGTTTATATCAGCAAGTGTTAATGTTACGTATGTCATTTTATCATTGATTTACAAGAGCATGGCCATTTTTACTATAAAGTTGCAAGGCTTCCGGTGTTACTGTATGCATATATATAATCTCATAATATTATTTAATGCAGTTGTATTTTTCAGTGTAAATGATTTAATTTGATAACGTATAATCACATTATTATAATTGAATTTATAGATCAAATGTAAGAATTTGAAATGAAAGAATTAATGTGATTAGTGGGAAAATGCCCTCTATAAAGGTAAAAAAAATGGCCTTGGATAAAATATTAAAAAACACGCAGATTTATATGTCACAACTGATGAGAATATTGCTTAAGAATAAACCATATTTGCAAAACACACACACACACACACACACACATATATATATATATATATATATATATATATATATACAGTATGTGTGTGTGTGTGTGTATATATATATATACAGTATGTAAGCTCGATACCATAGAGACCCCCCACATAACAAATCTCAATTTAACCCCTGCTAATAAGCAACTATTTAAGAGTGAGAATTGGTCCCTAAACTAAAGTATTACCTTAATTTTAATAGAGAAAGTCCTCACCAAAAATAAATCTGATTACTTAACATGTTATTTGCAACACACCCTTCCCAAGAGCCACTAACTGTGATGAACAATGAACGAGCGTGAGGTTAGAACTATGCAAGTTCTCTGTGTACCTAAACCCTGGCATAACTCAGCTTGTATTTGCCTTTATCTCCATGCCAACGAGTACGAGTGGCCTTCTAAAATGGCAGTCAACACCACCTGTGATCTTTCTGCTCTGGCTGTGTTCCTTTCATCCCTCAGGTCTCAGTAACAATGATCTTCAATTGAGATTCCTCACGCATCAGTCCCATGCTAAAGCCTCTGGGCTCTGGCACCCACAGGTCTGTTGCTTCATCTACCTCACAATGCTTCTGTGAGCTCATGAAAAGCTGGTGTCAGAATGCAGCTGAGGCTCCCCGTTTTCTGCATATCAAACTCGCTCCTGTAGCTTTGATCACATCACCTTCCCTTCACACTCACCATGAGAAGACTGTCTGGAGCTACACCGCTCCTGTAGCTTTGATCACATCACCTTCCCTTCACACTCACCATGAGAAGACTGTCTGGAACTACACACACAGAGTTGTGTGTGTTTGTGTTCAAGTGGGCATACGCAAATACACACACACACACACTGTGCCTTTTGTTGGAAGATTTGCCTTTAGAAACCTGCAATTTCACACTGAGATGGAAGGAAATTTCAGGTTTTTGGAAATATAAATTTTTCAGGCCTGGCTGTCTACTTTCTCTTTCTTTTTTTTTCTTTCTTTCTTTCTTTCTTTCTTTCTTTCTTTTTTTAGTGTGCGCGACAGTCCGTGATTAACAGAAAGTTTTAGAAATCCCTTTTGTCCCCTTTGCACCAGCAAATAGCTAATTTACTAGACCATAGTAGAAGACTAATTAATTAGGTACAGGGATAAAATCACTATCATACATGACAACCAGCATCTTGAGGTGACAGCAGATGTCATACGTCTCTCCATGGGTAACATTTGACTCTTGAGTCAGGGGAGGCAAAAAAAAATTA